AGCCTTGAGCTGAAGAGCTGAGGGACAGCGTCCAGGCCCAGAGTTCAGGCCCCACAACCAGACCTCCCCCCCAAAAAAAGTAGAACATATAACTAGCAAACAAAAAGTCCAAGTTCAAACACCAGTACCACATATATATTTATACATGTATATATGTAAATAAACAAATTACAAAGTTGGATGATTTGAAAGTAGGCTTATCTTTGGGGCAGAATAATGATTTCTTTTTTTTTTTTTGGTCAGTTTTGGGGGCTTGAACCCTGGGCCTGAACACTGTCCTTAAGCTCTTCAGCTCAAGGCATGCACTCTACCACTTGAGCCACAGCCCACTTACGGTTTTCTGGTGGTTAACTGGAGATGATTCTTATGGGCTTTCCTGCCTGGGCTGTCAATCCTCAGATCTCAGGCTCCTGAGCAGCTAGGCTTACAGCCATGAGCCACCAGCACCTGGCTTTTTTTTTTTTTTGGCCAGTCCTAGGGCTTGAATTCAGGGCCTGGGCACTGTTGCTGAGCTTCTTTTGTTCAAGGCTAGCACTCTACCACTTTTAGCCACAGACCAGTTCTAGCTTTTTGTTTATGTGGTACTGAGGAATTGAACCCAGGGCTTCATGCATACTAAGCAAGCACTCTACCACTAAGCCACATCTTCAGCCCAATAGTGAGATTTTTTTTTCCCCCTTCTGGCACCAGTATCAAGGGCTTGACTCAGGCTGTGGGCACTGTCTCTAAGCTTCTTTGTGCTTAAGGCTAGTGCTCTACCACTTAACCCATAGGACCACTTCCAGATTATTCTTAGTAGTTTATTAGAGTTAAGAGTCTCACAGACTTTTCTGCCTGGTCTGGCTTTGAACTGTGATCCTCAGATCTCGGCCTCCTGAGTAGCTGGGATTATAGGCATGAGCCACCAGCACATGACTCATTCAGCTTTTGTTTATAGCTAGTAGTGCCCTACTACTCCAGTGTGATATTTGGAGGCAAGAAGGTAAAGGTTAACAGGGAGAGAGGGAAGTGGAAGGTGACAGGACAAGGAGCAAAAGGGAGAGGAATTGATTGGAATACATCATATACATGTATAGAAATGTCACAGTGAAATCCTCCCTTGTACTGCTAATGTATGCTAATTAAGAAAAAACCTGAAGCAAAGATAACTGCCTGTAACTGAGAAAGTGGTGGTGGCAGGGGAGGGGGAGGGAGGGAGAAAGCGAAGTGCCAATGGTTCATGTCTATAAGCCTTGCTACTTGAGAGATGACTGAGAGAGGATCACAGTTGAGCCTGGGTATAAAAGTTCCCCTTCTCAACCAAGAGTGCCTATCACCCTAAATATAGCAGGAAGCCTAAGATAGGTAGATCACTGTTCAGGCACATGACTAGATAGGAAGTAAGCCCCTATCTCCAAAGTAAAACATAATCAAAAAGAGACAAATGTGGCTTAGTCGTAGAGTTCCTGCCCAAGAAGCATAAGGCCCTGTGTTCAAACTCTACTACCTTCACTCCCTCAAAAAGGGGAAAGAAGAGTTAGAAAAATAACCTAGTATTCCAAAGGAGGGGATAAATGTGGCCATTCAAGTCAGTCCCACAAGTCCTCCAGATGGCCTCCCCAAATGACCTTTCAGGTTTGGTTTACTTGCCCAGGCTGATCTGCAGGAGAGCAACACTTGAGAGAAAATGTCACTGGATATCCTAGCAGATAGCATCCTCACAAAGGCAGGAGCTTGGGAAGCTGCCAACCAGCTACAGAGACTATGGCCTTATTGTTTGCAGAAGCATGACTATAGAGACAGAGGAGGAACCCGCTCTGTAACAACCTTTGCCTGAAGTTACTTCCTGAGACCATCTGCAGTTGCCCTACAACAATTTGCTTCTATTTTGTTACCATAAAGGGGAAGCTGCAGAGGACTAATGGAGATACCAGAGTTTACAGATCAAGTACCGGAATCTTCACATGGAAAGGAATTTACAGGCCTGTTGGTACTCTATTCAAATGCCAAGTCCCTAACTCCAACCTGTGTCCATCTGCTGAGCTTTGCTTTGCATATCTTCAATGCTGGGGAATCCACTACATGTTTCAAAGAACCCCAGTTACTTCTATGTACTAGACAATTCCCTCATATTTAGCTGAAGTCAAGTGTCCCCATAGTTTTGTAGAGCCATTAAAAGGCAATCCTATTGGGTGCTAGTGGCTCATGCCTGTAATCCTAGCTACTCAGGAGGCTGCAATCTGAGGGTCATAGTTCAAAGCCAATCCCAGGCAGGAAAGTCTGAGAGACTCCAAATAACTACCAGAAAACAGGAAGTGGCACTGTAGCTCAATGTGGTAGAGCACTATCTTTGAGCAAAAAGAGCTCAGGAACAACTCCCAGGCCCCTGAGTTTAAGTCCCATGACCAAAAAGAAAGAAAGAAAGAAAAAAAAGAGGCAATCCTACAGTCAAAGAGATTGGAATTAAAATCAGCCTAGCCCAATAATTTATGTTAGGACCTTAGAACCTCTCTCAGTGATGTATGCCAGCAATGCTCAGAGGGGCTACTGACAACTTTTTTTAAAATTTTAATTTAATTTTATTTGTGAACATACTGTACAGAGGGGTTACAATTACATGGGCAGGATAATGCGTACATTTCTTACCAAGCATTGCAGCCTCCTCCTTTG